CCATTCCAAACACTAAAGAGGCATTCTTTGTTTTTTAAATTTTCTTTTTCTGCATAGTTGCTGCCCCTGAACATTGTGGATTTTGTGGGATTTTGAAGTCAAATCACTTGAGGCAAATAACCTCATATATCGTGGATGTGCTGTTCCATAAATCTCACCATATATATCCGCGATGTTGGAAACATCCATTCTTGTAGCTCGCTTGCTTGCCAGTTTAACTTCTGGCATAATTGAAGAGACCCAATTTCAAATATCCTGTACAATGCAATAGCAAAGATGAAGGAAAAGGACAAAACACTCGCATCAAAAGAAGTGGGGGGGGGAATCAGAAAATATTTCTCGTGGCACTCCCCGTCATTCTGCGTTGACACATTCGAGAAAATCCAATCTTGCTCTCGTTATTGGTTGCGTTTCTTTTATCTTTTGTTTCCTTTCTCAAGCACGTTTTCCGCACTTGATGGTCGTTTCATCGCTTGCTTGGTTGAAATCCAACGTAGGTTATTCGTCACTTGGTCTGGAGCCCTTGACATAGCTATACAATTTGAGCAAAGAAAAAAAAAAAAAAAAGAAGTTAGCAGTGCAAAATCAGCCTGCCCGTGTCGAGGGATAGCCCAAAACTCCCAGCACCCGGAAGACAGATTTAAAACTGAGCATACCAAAACTCACCTATTCCACCAGCTCGAAAAAATCTTCCTCCTATCCGGTCCCGCTCCGACATTCTGTTCATGCCACTGCGCCCTTAGAGAGGAAGTGCTACCATCCCCGGCGTTCCTCTTTTGAAGCGACAATGTTGAAAAGGATATATTGGTCCCGCTGACTGAGTTGCTTCTACGGAAGCTGTCGGCCCGAGGGGGACTGGTTGCTTCATCACCTGCTGCGGATGTGGCGGGAGGGGGGGAGGGGTAGGGGGATGAGATTGGGTGGCTTGGGGAAGGGAACGGGAAGGATGTTGGGATTCCCACTGAACTGGAGCGGGGTGCTTGGGTTGTCCTTGTTGAGGGACTGGGGGGTGGGGAGAGAGTCTCTCCCATTGTGCTGCCGGGGGAGCTCGAGAGGGTGGAGCTTGTCGAGCCCTGTGGTTGAGGGGTTCTTGTGAGATCTTGTTCTATTGGTTTATGGGGTTCTTGCGGCTTTGTATTTCTTCTTTTTTCTTTGTGGCTTTTTTGATTTGGAAAATCCAGGAGAGAAAGATTGGATGGAGGGTGCATATAGGAAACGTACCCGTCGCAGAGTTTCACTGGGAGACGAGGGGATGTGTGGCCTTGTTGGCATATAGTAGTATGGAGGCCCCCCACGAACCCAGACAGGGGGACGGTCAGGGCGGTCGCTGGGACGATTGCTGGCCATTTTCACTGGTTGCTGTTTCGTCGCTATGATTTGCTGCACGATACGATGCGAAGAAGATATATGAGGTTAAATACCTACAGTTATGAAGTATATTATGGAGATGAGAATAGGAGCTCTTATTTACGAGCAGGAGGCGAAGAAAGAGGGGAAGCTGTGGAAGCTAGGACGGGAATACGAGCCAAATCCACGATTGCGCTTAAAGTTGGGGAAGCTGTTCGTAGGTATATTTACAAAGTGATACCTCACTTTAGCACTGAAAGGAAAAGTGCTATCAATAGGTTATGGTATTGAATCTGTTAAGAAGCGTTGTTGGTCTAGGTCAGCAGCTGCTGAACGTCTTACGTCCCTGGACGATTTACTGAGCATACTCCGTAATGAACGTAGATATATTCGATACATTTAAATTTACAAGTTTACCTCGCGCAGAAATACGAATACCCTTTGGATCGTGATTGATGAAAGTAGGTATCCCCAGGTAGAGGTACAATACTACATCGCCAGCTTCAATCTCTCACAAGGGCTGCTGCATCACTTCGACTCGCTGACGTCATCGTTCAGCGGTTTAAAATTTGCTCATCTTCCAGCTGGTTGGATCAACTGCAATGCATTTGTCTATCTAATGGAGTATACTCACAACCACCTTTTTCGAGCTCAATTCAGCATGGCTTGTTTCTGAGCTTAGTCATGAATTCAACTCCCAACATCATCAATATCAAGTCTCGTATCTTTGCCCATACGAGCAGCTCTCGGGAACCCCTCAAAGACGATGCTGTACTATCTCCAATATCTTTACTTCCATCTAATGTCAGACCATTTCTTTGGAGGTCAATTGGGGAAGGAGGACACCATCTACCGTGGTGAAGCAGAGTTCGATGATAACAGGTTCAGATCTCACGACGAGAGAAGTCCAAAATCTCACGTACAATCGCTGGCAGACCCAGGAGCGCCGTTATTGTGGAACTGCGTTGCATCATGATCAGAAATCATGACACTAGTCAGGGAATACGCACATGCTAAATAAATGCACACCCGACCTGTGACTAGCCACAGTAGATGACATCAAATGTGGAGGAAGCTTCAGCGATGTATAGGGTTTCTTCGACCTCCACCTTCGCGATATTTATGTACAGCTTCAAGTTTTGCAGACCCGAATGATTTACAATTTGTGATGCTGGTGTGGTGTTGTGCTTAATTTCTATGGTAATTTTGAGAGAGATGTCTGTGTTGATTCCGATGTTATGATTATTTATCCCAATGATACATATATTAGAGAGAAGGAATGTGCCCGGATTTAGTTTGGAACTGAGGTTGTTGAAAGCTGAAGTTGGGACAGCTTCTTGTTTTCTCTCCTCAGGGACTCCTTGTTTTCCTTTTCTGATTTGACGGAGTCTCGCAAGCTTCATAGGAAAATATCAGAAATAAAAGGCCTGCCAGCAAACATAAAATACTACTAAAGAACGATTCCTTGGTACCCAGCACAGAGACAGAGAGACAGACCACATCTGAAAGCCTGCAGTCAATATTCGCCGCGCATAACATCCCAAGGTAGAGAAGTCCAAGCAGAATAGCCAAACTTCCAGGCCCCTTTTCTTCCCTGGTATGCGTGTGCAACCAGTGGGTAGTGATTTTCATTAAAGTGTCCTAGATTCAGGACCAACTCAGGTCTCTGGAAAAACCGTAGTTACCGAGTACAATGCTGTCTCGTGTAGTAGTTTACCTGGAACAGAACTTGCAGATACTCCCTGCGGTCTCCTAACAAGTCAATGAGGTTCTGTACCCGGATCCTCACTTCCGTAATGCTCATATCATAAGAGCAACGATTTGAAGAGGAATTCATGGCGCTACCAGTTTGGAAATACTCAACGTCTGGTCGGTAGATGTTGATGATAGTTGCTCCCGTCACCATATAGTTATCTATCCTCTGTAGTAAGAGTAAGATGCAGATATGCAAACTGAGGGGCTGGCTGGATGAGCCGACTCATTACACACGAAGCAATTGACTCTGGACGTAGTTGTTGACACAGAGAGCAAACATCGGCTCAGTGCTTTTTCCGTTGCGGAGGGGAGGTTTTGACACGTCCAACTTTGGCGAATCCCTTCGCATAGTTAGTTCCATACGAAGTGAAATAGGCAGGGTTTAATCAACGAGATGAACTTTTGGTGGGGGTAGTTAACTACGGTTAGGCAATTTGAACAAATCTGACAAATATATCGCCAATGGCATCGTGCTTCTTGTCCCTAGATGGTTGGAGATTCGCACGTCGCCCATTGTTCTTACGCTGTTCTGGACTTGTTACAGACTCCAGGAAGCGTCCTTGAAAACTCAAAGCTGCTCTATAGCTTCAACAAATGAACCTTGTGATGAACATAATTTTTATTTTCCGAGGCTAGCGAACCTAAACTTTGAGGATTTTTTTTGCTCGCTCAGACGGATTGGATACTAGCAAAACCAGCGAAGTGCACCCGAGACCCGAGGTTTGCTGGGAACCACAAGTTCCAGGGCGGAAAAGGACGAGGGAGAGTTGCTGAGACGGAACCTTTAAATTTTTATACTTTTTCTCTAGATAAGATTTCGGGAAGATGCAGCGGATATTTTCGTTTCGGGATTGCCTTTAGCTGTCCATTATTTTTGGTGCCTGGGGATTACCTAGTGTCAAGTTTGCCCCATAACTAGTTAGTTAGTTACCCAGATAACTGACTAACTAGTTACGTATGATGTTGGCTGACTAAAAGTAGCCAGCCCACGGAGAAAAAACTGATTCGATTTTTCCATATCCAGTTTGCCTGCGATAACTAACTAACGGACTATACAGTTATATGAAGGCCTGGTTGGAGAGGCGGGGGTCAATAGTTATGTTCCTCTTAGTATCTAAAGCTGCGATTGAGACAAGTCTTATAAAGGAGGGGAATGTGGAGGAGAGGGGAGGGGGGGGGGTTTTCGTTGACACTGACTGCCCTTTGGTATATAGAGCTAGTTATCTCGCCGCACCCATAGCAGGTTATATACTCCGTGAGCCACGATGGAAGAGTCTCACAACTTCAACCATTGTATTCCTGTATTCCGAGGATAGCCATTTTGACTGCAGCAAGTTTTACCCCCAGAACCCCATGATGGGAGATCTCCTTTGCCAGTTAAATACGTAGTAGATAAAATAAATAGCACGAATTTCGTCATCCGTTGCCTTGCAGATGCACCAACAAGGTAGAGCTCCTGAGCTCCCCAGCTCCCCCAGAGAAAGCTCCTAAGACTCCCGAAGTGGGCAATATCGGAAGGATGCTGACATGGTGCATGTGGTAACTAGGTAGTTAACTGGCAGATTGATGGAGATGCCGTAATATTGCCATAGCAGTTTGGCCAGCTATTTAAGTTGTAGTTAGTTCTTTGACAGCTGGGAAATAGTAGTTTATGTCTCCACTATTCCTCGCCCAAACATTTGTGTGGAGCGAGTCTTTTCATTTCTTCCTCAGCGGGCGCCATTGAGCATCTCCAGTAACTAACTAGCAGTTAACTAGTTAGTTATATTCTCTTCATTTCTGTGTTCCGCCTGAACAACCCACCCCACCCGTCGCTTGCAAAGAGCTTCCAAGGTTTGTCCATGCAGCTCAGACCAAGGTTCATTCTGTGACTAAGAATAGTTAAACCACCTGTTCAGAACTCGCTGGAAGTTAACCACTTGTTCGTTACATTGGTCCCCGAGGTCGTGGTCCCCCGGCTTAAACCGTCCATAATAATTCAAACCCCGCCGCCGTCAATTGCCTACGCCGCCAACATCTGCTCGCAGCTCTTGTGCTGTACCGGTGTGACATCTGCCTTATTTCAATCCAGTTTCATCTCTTCATCTCTTCATCTTTTGCAAATTGATGGGTGTAGTTGTCTGCTTTCTTCGGCCCTCCATACAACCTGGTACTGTGCCTGTTTCCCTGGCGATACCGCGGTCCCCATTTGCCCCCCACTAATTTCCACCTCTCAATCCGACTTACAACTTTCCTTCCACCTTGCTTGCGTGGCCTTTAAAAGGGGGAAGAGGGAACAGTTTTCATCTTCAATCCCATATATTTTGTCTAACAGATTCTATTCATCTAATTTTTTTTTATTAGAATTTTCCTTTTTATACTGGCGTACAATCTGGCGCAATAGTGCAGAAAATCTGATCTGTCAAACCCAAGGGTCCGGGCTAGAACACCCTCTCCTACCTCTTCTCCAACCCTCGACCGCCCAGTTCCCTCCCCCCGACTATCGCGACTATTTTCATAGAAAGGAAGTGTTTGGGAAATTGCAATGACGACTTTTCTCCCCCCATATGCAGCGCCTGAACAGGCCGTGGATGACCAGGTGGAAGACCACAGCCACCACCCTGCCCACCACTCAGTCCACAGACGCCTTCGCGCCAGCTCAACCATCATGCATTTCACCAAGATTCTCGTGGCCAACCGTGGAGAAATCCCCATTCGCATCTTTCGTACCGCTCACGAGCTCTCCCTCCAGACCGTCGCCGTCTACAGCTACGAGGACAGACTGAGCATGCATCGCCAAAAGGCCGATGAGGCTTACGTTATTGGCAAGAGGGGCCAATTCACCCCCGTCGGAGCCTACCTTGCTGGTGATGAGATTATAAGGATCGCCGTTCAGCATGGTGTTCAACTTGTTCACCCTGGCTACGGCTTCTTGTCGGAAAATGCAGAGTTCGCGCGAAACGTTGAGAAAGCGGGGCTGGTCTTTGTGGGCCCAACCCCGGAGACCATTGATGCGCTGGGTGATAAGGTTTCTGCACGACGTCTAGCCGTCAAATGCGGTGTCCCTGTCGTCCCAGGTACCCCTGGCCCCGTTGGGAGGTTCGAAGAGGTCAAGGCATTCACGGATGAATATGGCTTCCCCATCATCATCAAGGCGGCCTTTGGTGGTGGCGGGCGTGGTATGCGAGTGGTCAGAGACCAGGAGAGTTTACGTGACTCCTTTGAGCGCGCGACTTCAGAAGCCAAGGCCGCCTTCGGCAATGGAA